CGAAGAAAGATTTTACATAGGTACAATGGGCGTCAAAGTTAAAAAACTAACTCACTTTGTAATTTGGAGCATATCATGAGCTTGTGTGCAAGACACATCTGAAAACTGTACAAAAATCTTAATCCCTATTGGCATGTAAGAAACCCATTGATCGATCCTGTGCAACAGCATGGACAAACTATGGTAGCAGGAAAACAATAAAAAGTATTTTTAGATTTAACTGCCTTAGTGCAGATTAGTGTAGGATGCCGTTAATCAACAGTTCATTCTCTGTCTTGCCTTGACGAAGCTGTTAACGGCCATTATAGCCATATCAGGCTGGCTCTTGGCGTAGTTCATCAAGTAGAGGTACACCAACTTCTTCAGCTCCAGGTTGTCAGTCTGCATGCAGTTGACTACATCTGGGAACAAAGAACTGAGAGCAAAGCAAATTGACTTCAAAAAGGAGTACTAGACAATGTTGCGACACTGTCATGTTCTCTCACACTAGCTGTGAATTTACTGCATGAGTAACTGTCCTGAACTCACATCAGTACAAATCGGCTTAACGGACATATCATACAACTGTAGTATGACTAATTAATGTCTGTAAAGCTTTAGCACACTGTGAAAAAACACTGTGTGCAAAGTGATCATCAATAACGATGTCTGAATAGCCTGAAAGTAATAAAAACGTCCTTTCATTCACACTTTTACCTCCTGATTTCTGAGGCTACTAGTCAGATATATAAAAAGAGTGAAAATGGCCAGAGCTCCAGGTACCTTAGCAACTGCTCTCTCCTATTTTTTAATCTCTGCTACTGTGTTCTCTTAATTTGCAATGACTGATTTCCTTGACCGATGGCAATCAATAGCAAAGCAGTGAGCCCCCTGAACAATACTGAGACTTTTATTTACTATTACTCTCTTAGCAGCACTGACAGTTCCAGGAACATATCCTGGGAGTTGGCAGAGAGCAGCGGAAACAAAAGCAGAGCCGGAAACAATGACCACACATCAGTCTACTGAGGATGAGACTAATCAGCTTTCCAAAAGCAAAACTCAGAGTTAAATATCAGCAGCTGAATTACTTTAATCCAATTGACTGTTGGTCAGTAAGCACAACACAATTTTCTTCTTGTTTAAGATATTCAGTGCCAACACATAATGCAACTGAGAAATCACAGACGCCACGTCACTTTGATTTGCTTATCTTATCACACTGTTATAATTATAGACCTGTGTGGCGCATGTCATAAATGCAGTGTACCTGACATCTTTGCCAACAGTCATGGCAGCAATGACCTTCTTCACTGCCTCTTTCCTCTTCTCCTTCTTCTCATTGTTCAGCTCTGCCTTCAGTTCAAAGATCTCCCCTGAAAGATGAATCAGATGAAGAGTTGACAGCAGTACTGTTTATATATACACTGCCATAGATTTCCAATCTCTAACATGCCTACATGAACAAAAACAATTTCTCTATCATACTCACCTTTTTTGTTTGTTGTGAAATATTTGGAGTCCGTCATGACTGTGGTCCTTAGTTCTGTAAAAAATAAATAGATAAATACATTTTAAAAAAATATTACATAATCATTCAGTGAGGCTGCCATATGACTAAGTGGCGTGGTGACAAGCCACAAAGTAGTTCAATGAAATTCAGTCATCAGGTTTGCCTCCAACATAGTACACTGCAAACAGCCAGTAACCAATCTAAAAATGTTACAGGTTTCTTCTATGACAGACCAACCTGATGTGTTTAGTTTCTAAATGAATGTATGAATAACTGCCTTACAAATATACAAGGTTACACTACAAGTATGGAGAACACCCCTTTCAATAAATAACTGAGCAAAATCCGTACAGCAGTATAGCAAATGCTAATAGAGTGGCTTCATGACACTGATTTGCATGGTGATGTGGAAATGAAAGCCTATGAGCCCCAAGAAAAATACCAAATATTAGCTGGAGTGGTGTTAAGCACAACCAGTGGACTACAGAGCACTGTAATCGCATAGTCTGGATTTATTAATATGGCTTTATTTTCAGGAATTGTAATGGAGGATCCTGGGTTTGGCACAGGTTAGGAGAACCATTTATGTCTGAATTATACACTCCCAACTGTTTTACAGAGTATATGAAGTTCTAGTAAACTCTGAAATAGGCAACTTAATTTTATCATAATGCACCACACTAGGGAAGTACAGAATGCAATTTTATTATGTTTAATTTGTTTTTGTTATTATTCATTCCCCTTTCTTCTTCTTTCAGATGATTCCTTTAGGGGTCACCACAAAGGATCATCTGCCATCCTATCCCTTGCATCCTCCTCTGTCACACCAACCCTCTGCATGCCCTCCTTCGTTAAATGCATGAATTTCATTTTTTTTATGTTCTTTGCAGTCTTCCTCTTTTCCTCCTGTCTGGCAGTTTCCTACTCAACATTGTTTGTCTGGTATTTCCACTATCCCTCCTCTGCACATGTCCAAACCATCTCAGCCTTGCCTCTGTAACTTTGTCTCCAAACTTCTCAACCTGTGCTGTCCCTCTGTACTTATTTGTAATCCTGTCCAGTGTGGTCTGAGCTTATTGTGCTTTGACAGCTCCAGCTCGGCCTTCCATCTTTTTTTGTCAGTGCCACTAGAGCATATCTCTGCCTCTCCAGGCTCTCTTTCACCTGCTCCCTTGCTTCAAGCTCAACTGCAATTTGAAACATAGTCGAGCAAAATGCCTTCTGAAGAAAGGTTTTATGGTCAGATGAGACAAAGATTGAGCTATTTGACCCCAGTGACAAGAGCTATGTTTGGAGGAATAATGGCAGGACTATCAAATCTAAGAACAGAGTGGCAGCTGTAAAGCACGGCGGTGGTAGATTTATTTACCAATTCTGACGAGAAGAGTGGTCAAGAATTATGGCTGTTGATCGCTAGCAAAAGCATCTGGGGAAGATGCAACTTACTAAGGCACACTGAACCAAATATTAATGGGGGTTTATGTATATATTTGAATCTGTGTGGATGAGAGAAAATCCAACATAATTTCAAACTTTTGCAGAGTTATTAATGATGTAAGCTCTACAATCATGCAAACCTGGAGAAGAATTCGAAGTTCGGAGCAATCATTAAAAGCACAAACATATGATATCGATGTCCATAATGACTGTATATAAACCTATGACCACACATTTATGTATCTGTACAGCCCTAGCTAAAACATGCTATTACATTGAAGAAAACGTACTTAGCGTTACATCTTAAACAATGAAACCTTTACTTTAGTCGGCATTAGCCATTTTCTTCATCTGTATGGTGAAGAAGAACCTACTCTAATCTAACGGTGACATTAACTGCTCCGTGTTTCTGGGTGTGACGACATTTGACCTCTCAACAAACATCAGGTTAGCTTTAATTAACCGGGAGGCACAGCACTTCCACTTAGCTAGCGTTAGCTAAATGCTAAATACATCCGCTCCCTCCTGCGATACCACAGATATTAACAACAAACTCCAAACACAGACAACTTCTAACATCAACCTGGGTTTACAGTCCGATATGACAAGATTTCGTTATGTTAAATCTGGAGTCAAAATAGAAACGTGAGCAGCGGCCCAGTTTCCAGGAGCTGCCTTTACGGTAGCTAAACGATGAGCAGCCCTGCAAAAATACAGTCGATACAAAATCACACCACAATGACAGCAAGGTTAAAAGAAGGTCCTGTATTGTATAATATCGCCCATACCTTGCTGAGTATACGTGAGAAGAGAAAAATATTCCACTGGGTGTCAGACGCAGGGTGCTCCTTCGTCTGTTTGGAGGAAGATGGAGAACCAGGATAACGATGGTGCGTTCACACTCATCGGAAACTGGACAACTTCCCTCCTGAGGTAAAGAATACCAGGATGCGTTGTTACAGCGAACACATTTGGTTGATTTTATAACGGGTGTTAGTAGATGTTTGTATAGTTAAGATCTGCGAATATAAATGATGTATTATATAAAATGTATATGCAAATCCAGGAAACCACCAACGGCAATGACACCACACGGTTTCGAGGTCATGTGTACAAATCGGTCGGTAGGGTTTATATATATTTTTGTAATTGGATTCACAGGCAAATATAAATCAGTGCAAACTTTTGTATTTAAAGGGGAAATTTACATTACATAATAAATGACTCTATATGACGCCACGGTTTCCTATGATCATGAATGCAACACTGGAGGGAACTCTTGGTAGGGATTTCGCCGTGTCCTCACAGCCAGGAAAAGAATTCCATAACATCAGCGTTTCACCTTCACTGTACAGTCCTGGCTTTTTCAAAGCAGTTTCAAATCAGGGGCTGCAAAGTACTCCCCTGGGTCTGAACGCAGCCCAAGAGTTGGAAAAAGGAAGGATACTCATGTTGATGTGAAATATGTTCAGTGCCTCAGGCATGAAGGAACATGTAGAATCAGACAGATACAGTTTTGTTATGTTCAAGTCCTTGCAACATGGAATTCTTGCAAAACACAGACTCTGTTAGGTCCCATGTATCCGATGGTCCAACAAACCAGACGGTGTACATGTGATCCCTTCGATAGCTCAGTTGGTAGAGCGGAGGACTGTAGGTGTATGGGAACAGGAATCCTTAGGTCGCTGGTTCAACTCCGGCTCGAAGGAGATTTTACAATTCCACTATCTCAAGTGCAGGTGTTGAACTCCAGGCCTCGAGGGCTGCTGTCCTGCTTGTTTCCAACCCCTGATCTAAAGCTTACAGATAACTAAGGTTGAGTATTGAAAGCGTGAAATCTTGTTGAATTTAAGTCATCTATTAAGATGCTGAACTGCATTAAGCAAAACCTGTGCTTCAGTGGAAAAAACAAACAAACATACTTTTGCATACAATCTAGACTGCGTGAACAGCTTTAAACTACTGTATGAATGCCCCTAAATATCATATGCCAAATATAAAATATAGTGCACGAAGAAAAAAGATTTTGATGTTTTTTTTAAGTATTTAAAGATAATTGTAATAGTTGATATAAAATGTTTATATTACAACAAATATGACAACTACATTGAGATTTGAGGTAACCAACAGAAAATATAAAACCAAACTTTCAAAACATTTCTTTATATTCACAAGTTTTTAAAAGCCTCAGTTAACGCCAACAATCGGACCCTTTATTGAAATCAAATATAAACAGTGACTAAAAAAAAAAAAAAAATGCATTGCCAGGTACAACCATACACAGCAGGTATAATGGCTCTGCTCTCTATTAACTACCAGCTTCACTCATATTGTAACTTTATTAGTACACCATCCACTATATTAGCCATAAATACAAAGATTAAAACATTCAGACATGGTTTTCCTCTTTGTAAAAAAACAAAAACAAAAAAAAAATGCACTTATATCACGATAATCTATAATCTAAACTTCAAAAAAATAACAGTAACAGCCCTACTCCATTTTTCCAGACTTAAGCAGAGGATTCGATTTGTAGCTGGGAAGCGCTGCTGATCAGGTCTTGTGGAAGACTTTTTCGGGCTTCTTGCATCTTTTTCCTGGCCCTCTGAAAGGCCTCTGCAAAAGGAAGAAAGTACCAGTTGAATACTACACACATACAGAGAAGGCTTACATAGCAATTTATAACGAATACAAACAGAAATAACAAAGAAAAAAAAGGTTAGCTGTTTTCTTCATTTTACATATAACTGGTCTGAAATAATACGCTACATTTTGTAGCTCAGAAAACAAATCAAGCTATAACCAATCCATCCGTATCTCACATATGTCAGACTGAAGTGCTGAAAGAAACTTGTATCTCAGCGAGTTGATCTCCCACAGGGTTTAGCTTTCAAAGTAATAGCCTAAGCTCAGTGGGTCCTGAAAATCCAGATTTCTTACCCAGGATGGTGCAAACAGCTCCTTGCTGACTAAATCCTCCCAGCTGGTCAAAAACTCTCTGTCTCCTCTTCTTCAACATGGCAGTATCAACAAAGGCCCTGCACATGAAATTAAAATATTTCATGTTATCACTGATGATCATCTGAATGCATACAAACAGAGGTTTATATTTTCAACACCTGCACTAACATAAAAATAAAATTACAGTGTATTGTGGGACTGTGAAATAGGAGACAGTTGTGAAGTTGTAGATTTGCTGCTGTGTTGAAACTAATAAAGTCTAGCCACTGAAGAAATGTGATAATCTCTAACAATGCAGATAATGTAGAGCATACCAACCATATAAGTAGTACATGTATTTCTATTAAATGTTAGGTACAATACTTAACAAGTTTATTAGACTACTTGTCATAAAAACAAGAAAACAAATATTTTAGAAATCAGTCAAACACTTGTTTAAAACTAAAAATCAAATTCCTTTTTATTAGACTGGAATTCGTGTTTTCGTTTCATTCATTCATTCATAATAATAATAATAACAACAACAACAGTGTGCTTTACTATTTTCAATTTCAATTTCAATTAAATAGCTCATGTAAATTGGTGGTTAACCATTACAAAACATTAGAAAAGATCTTGGTAATTACCAATACTGTTCATTTAGGGCAGCTGTGGCATAAACCTTACATTGGGTGGTGGTGTAATAAATTTTTTAGGCACTCTATGCATGGCTACTTTTTTGAAGCCAGGCTTTACTTACCTGGCTTGCTGAATACAGTTGAGATTAAAAGTGACACTTCCTGTGGTTTCAGTGCAGAAGCCAAAGCGACTGAGCCTCTCCCCCTGCAGCCACACACAGACATACAGACATATTAAAAAATAAAATAAAACAAAAATGATCATATTTAACATAACATAAAACATGTATATAAAACTAGAAGGTTAAAGAATGCCTTCATAATTGTACCAGGAGTTAAATTTATCCACTGCATTTGTAAGGTCTCATGTATGCACACATTGCTTTTGATAAAGAATAAATGTAACCAGAACTTGCAGTATGTTAAGCTGTTGTACGGTACATTTAAATGTTTAACAGATTGTAGTTTAACAAATAAGTCATTCCCTGTTTAATTAAGTAATGCAGTAAGCCTACTGGGTTTATTAATTGTATTATGTAAATAATTTAATTATTAAATCAAGAATTAGAATATGATTTGAATAGGCAAACATCCTAATCAAAGTTTAAGTATTTTCTTTATAATCCAGTGTGGCATTTTAAGCAGCTGTTAAGTTCTGCAATCTTTTATTCATAAAAAATTAATTAATTAAATAAAAATCTTTAAATCTAATCCTCTTTAAGCAAAACAGAAAAATCATACACTTAAATTATGTGTAAACATTTGTCAGATCCATATAGCCTCTGCAGAGTTTTGACCCCACCTTGAATGTCCCTGGTATTCTGACGTAGCTGTGGTCCTCAAGCTCTGGAGAACCTCCAATAAAGAAGCGCCTGAGTGCAGAAACCGTCCCCATCTGAAGGGGTCTCCATGTGTGACATGTCATCGTGTGTTTACCTGGCGTGCACACACATAAATGCACACAAAACATATAATGCAGGACAATAAAAAGTTGTGATTTTTATAACTAATCAAAACATTTTTATCTGAAATAAAAAATTTAAAATGCAAAATTTTAATAATTGGAAAAATATATTTTCTAAATGTTAACTTAAGCTCCAACATTTGGCTGATTAAAGTTGATGAACAGGACATCTTAACCAAAGATTATTCATTTTAGTCATTTCTAAGCAAAAATGCTACATACATAGGGCATGCTTATTTATAATATAGGGTAAATTAACTGAACTGGGTTTGGGACTTCCGTTTATTTTGAATGTGTAATCTTAGAATATGAGAAATTATCAATATATATTTTTTCCCCTAATTTCAATCCATCAGTTTTCCAGTACACATAGCATACCAGGCATAGCAGGAAACAGCAGATAGCCATAGCCTTCAGTTCGATAACGCTGCCAGGAGTCCAGTGAAAGAACCTTGAAGTAGAGCACTGGCCACTGTGGGACTGAGTCTGAAATTAAAAACAAGAAACTTGTGTCAGTTTAACCTTTTAAAACAGTGAATCACCTAAAGACAATTATCTGTTACTGATACTAACGGTCACTCTCTTTTTCGGTCATGTAGAAAGCCTCGAAGTGGAAGGGGTAGCTAAAGAAAGCTACGTTTTCCTGTTAGCCGAAAGAACATACAGAGTTTAACATATCTCATCAAACAGCCATGCTGTCAATATATTGAACAAATAGTTCTTTTCAATACACACCTTCCCTAATGTTTTAGTCCGACAGGTCTGGGTAACCCCTGACATAGACTGGAATGGCCGGCTGGACCAATCTTAAATAATAATAATAATAATAATAATAATAATAATAATAATAATAATAATAATAATAATAATAATAATAATAATAATAATTTAGGCTGAATTGGCAAATTAAATGCAATGAATTCATTATAAAGTGCACAGTGCATCTGCATACTGGAAGTATCACATGTGACTCACTGTTGGGCAGTTCCATAAAGAAGTGGATGTACAAGTTATCATATTCAAAGCCTTGAGCTGAGACTGAGCAGAGAGAAGAACAAAAAAAGGACATTTGAATGATGAAGTCTGTTAGTTTCCTAAAAATGGGCACAGTATTTCTACTCACCTATCTCTCCATTCGTCATGTAACGCAGAATACCTAGAGGAGGCTACAGGAATAAAATCTTGTAAGAACAAAGACAATTTGTGACTATATTCTTTGACCTTAGGTGTCTTACCATTTCAAAGTCCTGTCCCACGAGGCTATTTAAGTACTCCTTGTGCCTTATGTACAGCTACAAAGAGAGAAAGGTTGATGTATTTGTGTGATTAGACCTGTTATTTGACTATACTTTTTCTGAAGCCTGAAAAAATAAGCATGAAGATGAACTCACATCTTTGTACATGTTCTGCTCCCTGACCTTGTCCTCAGGTTTCATACATGCCGATACATTCTCAACAGTGAGACGCCAGACTTCTCTCCTCTCCCCCTCTGTTACAATCCTGCACAACAATACAAACACCACACCAGCTTTGCATTTAATTCATCACCTTCTGACATGATCTTTTGCTGTCTTTTCAGTTAGTATCAAACATAATAATAATTTATCAGTGAGAACTTGAGCTACGCATCTCCACTGATGCTGAAGACTTGCCTGTAGGGCTCTTTGCCTTTGTTAAAATCAGGTTTTACAATCACTGTTCCACAGCCATCGGTTTTTATAGTTGCCAGCAAACATTCATTTTCTTTCTGGCCCAGCCTGAGGAAACAAAAAACACAAACAGAAAAATCACATAAGAAACACTGAATAAATCAACCCTAGTAATAGGAGAACAAGAAGAAAAATGCCTGATAGACTGAAAGTTTTCCTAACTCCTTCACTTTGTGCTGCAAGACAAGCTGCCCCTCGAAAAGCTAAAACAAGCAGGGCCTACACTGCATACTAATGGATACTAATGGTAATGGATTTCTCTGATCTGAGAGACAGCAAAGTCACCAACACAGAGTACAGACTACATGTTCTAAGAAAGTGAAGCCTAATAAATGAAGACTAACTTTTTCTGCATTTTTTATGAGAGATCAAAAGTGTGAACAAAGCAGACTCCCTTACCTTCCACTGGCGCCCAGGTCCCCCATGATGTGCATGGTCTGCATGACATTATTGACCACATGCCTGTTCCTCACAAACTCCTCTGTTGGCTCCCAGTTGATGATTTTTGACTTTGGGACACTGGAATCCCTGCAAAGCATGCCAGCCAATAATATAGCATTACTTTTTACATGTTTATACCTAGAGTTAGGATTATATCCTATTTTTATGTCTTGACTTTCATTAGGAAAAGAATCATTAGGTGGATTATAATGGATTTAGACAGGAAGATGAATAGAAAATAATACACAGAATGTAATGAGGAAAGACAATGTAGGTTTTTAATCAATCTGAAAACATAGTTTCACCCACATGGTGCGTCTTTCTTGACGTCTGTGTCTCACACTGGCCATCCTCTCAGCCAGGAAGGTTGGGTTGGATTTGGTGGTAAATATGTCAGTAGCATGCTGCTGCGAGGGCCACAAGGTCACAAGAAACACACAAACACAGTTAGAGAAGCTGGAACTGCACAGTTTGGGGTCTTAGATTTATTTTGCACAAATAAATAAAAATTAGAAATCTGCAAAGCTGGTTGCTTTTGGAGAGAAAATAATAATAATAATAATAATAATAATAATGTATTGGATTTATATAGCGCTTTTCAAGGCACAAAAGCGCTTTGGGTGTGTAGCAAATAAGGTGTCAAACTATCAGAGTTATCAAAAAAAAAAAAAAACTGTCAGGGAAAGTACTGTGAGCAGAGCCATCACAGACAGCATGCTTACTTTCTCCATCCTGACAGGTACGGTAAAACAGTCAGGACAAACAGCAGCTTGAAAAGTATTATGGAGAGCCTTCAAGAACACTGGTTGCAGTTTGCCCTCCATATCATCACAATATGCCACCAGAATCATGAGGAAGGCTGCCAGCATCATCATCACTAACCTCTCCCACCCTCAACATCACCTGTTCAGTAAGTATGAGCAATTATGCACCATTATGCACTGAAACTATATGGATGTATCATTCATTTGCACTATGAACTGCATTAGGAACTGCATGATGTACTCTATACGTCCTTGTACTAAAAATACACCTTAAAGATAGGTACACCTGCACTTTGGATACACTGCACTACATTTTTATATTTAATGTCAATCAATCAATCAATCAATCAATCAATCAATCAATCTTTATTTATAAAGCACTTTTCATACAGAAAAAATGTAGCACAAAGTGCTTTACATAGTTAAAAGCAGCCCACCCCACCCTCCAACTCACTCCCCACACTCTCAATACACATATATCCCCCCACCCACCCACACACACATACACACACGCGCACACTTAAAGAGTAAAAATTGGGCTGGGCTCGCATGAGCCAAGTGAGGAAACATTATAACAGAGAGCCGTCTGCACCGGGAGCCGGTCACAGACCGCAGCCTCCGGGCTGGGCACACAGCCGGAGGGAGGCAAAGGAGCCCCCCAACCAGGCTGAGAGGACCCCAGAGACCCAGCAGCCACGGTCAATAACAGCCCCGGTGCAGAGAGCGCCCTCCGAGGAAACACTGGAGATATGACGCAATACGATGTATACAGGGTAAAATGATAAAATAAATAAGAACAGGATACAATATAAATATAAATATAAATAGAGTAAGAAGATTAAAAAATGAATAAGAATAAAATCAAGAAATATTAGGTAAATCCTAAATTAATAATAGAATAACAGGATAGAATAAATAAGCATAAAAAATAAATAAACGCTAAGTAAAAGCTAAATTAAAAAGGTGGGTCTTGAGCCTGTTCTTAAAAACATGTACGTTCTCTGCGGCCCTGAGCTCCTCCGGCAGGCTGTTCCACAGACGAGGACCATACCACTGAAAAGCTGCCTCTCCGTGAGTATGTGTCCTGACTTTAGGGACAATCAAAAGGCCAGTACCAGAGGACCTCAGGGTCCGCGAGGGTTCGTATGGTAAAAGCAGATCTGAGAGATAAGAAGGCCCAAGACCATTAAGACATTTAAAAACCAATAAAAGAACTTTAAAATCGATCCTGAAACACACGGGGAGCCAGTGCAGCGATTCTAAAACCGGTGTAATGTGGGCCCGCCCTCTGGTCTTCGTCAGCACACGAGCTGCCGAGTTTTGCAAGAGTTGTAAAGTTGAAATATTCTTCTTAGGAAGACCAGAGAGCAGGGCATTACAGTAATCAATGCGACTGGTAATAAAAGCATGCATCAGCATCTCCGTGTTGGCCCGAGAGAGAATAGGGCGGACTCTGGCTATATTTTTTAGATGATAAAATCCAATTTTGGTTACATGTTTAACATGTGGGATAAAACCAAGCTCAGAGTCAAAAATAACACCCAGGTTTTTCACTTGTAGCGAAGGACATAGTGAAAATGCCTCTAATTTAGACAAGACAATGTGTGTTGCATGTTTCCTGCAAATTTGAAATTATGGCCATTATTGGGCACAAAAAGTTCAACAACAATCATGATAGGGCCTAATGCGGCCACTAAATGAGTGGTTAAAAGGATTGCTTTTGAACTTTGCTGGCAGGCATGTCTTATGAGACATGATGATCCACAAAACTTTACTTGATAGATCTGTGTAAGGTTTTTAAGGATAGCCAGACTGCACTATGCCACAAATACCAAGCACAACACACAGAGGACTGCAAAAAGTCTTTACAGTAAACACGTCCATTTGGTCACATGATAAAGGGATACACTCATAGGTGATAAATACTGTAACTGCTTCTAACCGTTTTTGGTCCAAATCGAGCCTTTAGTGTGTCCCATTTAAATATATTTATAAAAAAAAAACAACATTACTTTTGGAATACCTCTTCAAATATTCTTGTCGTGTTGGACAAATACAGTGAGAATACAGTGCAACCTACCAGCTGATGTACTGGAAGGCAGCTGGTGTAGCGGTCATGATCGGTGTATGTGAAAATTCTGCGATTGCGTCGACCCTTGCCCCTGTTGAGGGCTTTGACTTCTGTGTGGTACTGACGGTCCAGAGGTGTCTGACATGCTGCTTCGTTCTGGAACAGCTCCATTTCATACTGGAATTACAGACAGTCACAGAAATGTAAAGTAATAATGTCCAGTGTCCAGTTTTAAATAGTAAACATTTCAATTGTTTTCAATATAATTTGCAGTGAGAGTAGGATGTTAAATATTCAAAATTCTACCTGACTGAAGAATTTCTCCTGCCAGCCAACCACTAGCTCCTCTTCATTATCACCTGATGTCAGAGTAGCATAAATGTCAAGATATTAAAATAAGCCTCAAAGGAAAGAGCCATCCTAATATGGGCAAATACAAGCGCCACGCCCCGGTTCAGAACACCATTAATAAATAATTAATTATAATAGAGGCTTTAATGAAGAAATTGTATCAATTATGTCAATTTTTCAGGTGCTGCAGCCTGAGGTTGCTTCCAGACAACTTATGTTAATAATACATGCAGAATGTGAATTAAGTTATGGTTGGAATACTATTCAGTTATACTTTTTTGCAGGTACAGCCAGTTTCTGAGGAAAAATAAGAGAACTTTGTTCTCAGAATTTAAGAACAAGAGGACAGGAAAGAGAAAATGAGGAAAGATGACTGATCATTTTCAACACCAAGGACTGTTCAGCAAGTGACATTGAAACACAGAAAGAATGATAATAATGTTGTGTTGTTATTTATGGGCTAAGCTTGAAGGCTTAACGGGGTAGTTGGAAGTATTGTAGAACAGCTTGGACTGGTGCAGAAAAGGCTGTAGTATTAAAGTTTACTCAGGGCGACTAACTGCCAATTTAAATGTAGCACTCTTTTTTATTTCATGCAAAGTCCACCTTTATACCAGCTTTAAACTGGCTAGAGGTTTGAGCTATGTAGCCATAATAACTCATGCAACATCCTCAGTAAACTTCAAGGCCTGCAAATGATCAAAGCTTGAACATAAATTTTAAAACCAAGCTGGAAAGCCGAAAATCAAACGTTGACTCAACACTAACCAAGCAAAAAATAAGTAGTTTCTCAATGTAATTTTACCTGTCTGGCCTTGTGATGACAGTGTTTCCAGTTCAATTGCTCCTCTGTCTTGCCGGGACAAAAACTGCTGCTGGAGATGCTGTGTGAGAGCTGATGTGGAGGTCACTCTCTCTATGCGCACCCTAAAGGATGTGAACAAATGGAAATAAAGCGTGGAAACAACGTGTCTTGGCGTTAACACATATGTTTGTAGACGTAGATTTCTAATCTTCACATTCTTTCCTTAAAACAGTGAAAGTAGTGGAATAGTTTGGTGAAAAAAACAGCTCAAAAATTTCTCATCTCGGTCTCAGTAATACTCATTTTCTTTATGAGTTGTCCTTCGATACTCGTATAAAATACGATCTAATACAACCATAGGCTACTTACTTTATTTTCAAGTTTTTGATAGCATCCCGGGACCGATAGACAGCTTCTCCGGTGTCTGTGTTCCAGCAATCTGTCATGACTATTTAGCGGTGAGATGTTAGCTCCTCACGTAGCACTTTTTATTAGCTGCAGCTAGCACACACACACGCCTTTGTGCAGATACTTTCATTTCGTAAAGAAAGACATTAGTCAAAGGTGTAAATGTAAGCAGTAAAAAAAATGTATATATATGTGTATAAAAATATAAATCGAAACACTTGTGGACAAAGCGAGGCAAATTGGTAGTTGTCGTTGCCATAGAGATAAACGATGTTCTTCTTCTAGTTTTTTCTAGATTACAGCAGTATTATCGCCACCTATTGACCAAAGCTCCAAAGCGTTGAGTCTGGTCATCTGGACGTTTTTTTTTTTTTTGTTGTTGTTGTTGTTTTTTAATAGACTTTATTGACAAAACACAAAGTAAATATATAAATGAACAAAACATAATGTCAGGGGGTTTCGTGTAAAAACAAATAGATACAGTCAAGAAACAAAATCACATAATATTTAACAAGAAGCATTAGTTTATGGTTTTAAAAGCTTTTATATTTTGGGAAAGTTGTATAGTTTTAACACATAGTTTGGTTTCATTTAAAAAGCATTGAAAGTATGGTTTTGCGTTAGAAAATTTGGATTTATGTATATGAAATTTAACCATTAAGATAAGTAAGTTAATCAAATAAAATTTGCAGGGTAATTAAAGAAACAAAACAATTGTTGATCTGGACGTAGCGTTTACAATAGGAGAAACGTTTCGTCACTCATCCAAGTGACTTTTTCAGTCTCACCTGACTGCAGGATCCCCCAACTTTATAAACAGTACATTTGCACAAAAACTGAAACCAGCTCATTGACCAAAGGTAAATGAAAAAGAAAACAAGACATGGATAAAATAAAGTTAAAATCGAGTCAAAATTTCCACATATAAACCAGACAATTTGAGCTTCAGACAGTATTTTTGTGTGTATTTTATTTATGTTTTAAACAATTAAAATTGTTTAAAACCGTTTAAAAAGTTTAATAAAATTAAAACGAGAAAAGATTAATTTAAAAATGATGAAAGACTAACAAGATTTTTTTATGACTGTCTTTTTGCGTCAGCTTCTTTTTTTCCCAAAATATTTACATCTACCCCGCGGGAACACCTGGGGGCGGTAGTGGTTTGATCTCACAGCAGTTTGCAGGCGTAATCAAAGACGACAGTGAGGACCAATCAGAGCGGTCGGCGGGTCCTGAGCTGCTGCTGTTGTGCTGACCTGTCACAGTTTTGCTAGGACAATATAACGTTACTAAAAAGCATGGCGTCGTTTGTGACTGAAGTTCTAGCCAGCTCTGGCAAACTGGAGAAGGAGGATCTGTCTGGCAAAATAAGCAAGATGTCGCGAAAAGTGGAGGACACAAAGGTAACCACCGACTAGCGTCATAGCATCAGCTAACGTCGCGCTACGCAAAGTTTGAACCAACTCTTAGCTGTTAGCGGGTTTACTGTTAGGTCCCCGTCATTGCTTTAACTTTACTGCCTGAAGTTACACTCAGCTGCATGTAGAAATTAATCAGAAAATCTGATAATACATGCAGACTGTCAGTAAAGCTCAAAGCGAGTTAACTTCGTTTGTTTAGCAAGATTTGGACTAAGCTATCTGTGGTACAGACTCAGTACTGACACCTAGGTTACGTGGCTTGTAAATATTACTGTACAACGGGAGGAGGTGTGTAAGCTTAAGAAATAAGTTATGCTTTCTCTAGATTTAGAGACGACTTTTGGTCTGATGCAGATCTTATAATGAATGATGTGAGTTGCCGTGCCGTGGTTAAACAGGCTTAATGTTTCTGGCTGGGCATCGTAGGTGATACAAACACCAGGTGACTAGTTATCGCCAGCTGATCTTTTTTTTTTTTTTGGTCTAATATCTTTACTTATAGTAATAAATAGGCTGTAGTTAACAGGATTTCAGGACACCTGTTAAAGTTTTAGCCAGCTCTGACAGCCTTCTTCCACGTTTGTCTGCCGCATTAAATTAATTTAACTGCTCTTATTTGGGTTTTGCATGATTTCCACCATAGTGTATTTATATCAACTGTTGTGTGTTTTGATAGTTTATTAGGAGTTACACTACACACTAAGCCTTAGGCTTATTTTCAACAACACACAAATAATTGTAATCGTTAAGAAACTTCAAAAATGTGCTATCTGAGCTTATTCAGCAGGTTATAGATGAGTAAAAGTTAAATGGTTGTCTCATAATTATTATTATGAAATAAATGACTTGGTTGTCTTTGTGTTTTCTCCAGGAAGAGGTGTGCGACATGATAAATAAGCGATACAACGATTTCCTGCCCAGTCTCCAGTCATCAGAGGAGCTGATGTTACAGGTTGATGCAGTCTCCAAAGAAATGGACACTCTAAAAAACTGCATTGAGAATGAAGTATGTATGAAATTGTTTAAAGTGAAAGTTGAACCAGGTCTCATTCTGTTTCATGAAGTAGGTTTTTCTTGTGGTATAACTTAGTAGCATGCTTTTAAAGTATTTGTTGATGTGGACGTAGGTGCAGAACGTCCATGTAGCCGTGGCTGAATATACAAAGCTGAAGCAACAGCTGGAGAAAAATACCGTCATCATAACAATGCTTGGACACCTAAAAGAGGTACACTATTCTTGAGTTTTTATATTAAAGTCAAATAATTGCATGGATGCTTCCAACCAGTCCTTTCTCCAAACAGCTCCCATAATAAAGGTCTCTATTGCTCTAGGATACTTTACTACTGTTCTTGTTTTGTTTTGTTTTTTTGTTTTTTTTTAAATATAAAGGGAAAAGCACACCAACTGTTTCAAAATGCAGAAGTTCATATTCTTACTAGTTTTAGCATCACTTAAATGTGATAGGACCCCTTGGCATGGAACAATCCTGCATGACGAGCTGAGACTTGCAAAATCAATTTTTCCTCATGAAACTTCAGAAAACACATTTTTAATTATTTGCTTTGATGTGATAGCGTCTCTTCTTCTCTCGTTTGTGTTCTTTTCGTGATCCTTTAATCATCTCTTATCGGTTTTTAATTGCATGTATGTTCGTTTTTAATTCTCTTGTATGTTTTGTGTTTATATTTTTTGAGAATTTGTGTGTTCTGTTTTTCTATGTAGTGTTTTTGTTTTTAATGTATTTTCATATAACAACAACAACAACAATAATGATAAAAATAATAACAATGAGTTATGATTGTAAATTATCCTGAAAAATAGGGTGAACTGGCCAGCTTTTCTGTCACTTGACAAAATGTTTTATTAGCAAAGATCCTGTTTTTTTGTGTGCGTGTGTGTGGTTTTTGTTTGTTTGTTTGTTTGTTTGTTTGTTTGTTTGTTTTTAAGGCGGTATAGATGTTTCTGTGACTGACGTATCTGCCGTGTGACTCAGTTTCACAGTGCAATGGAAGAATTCAACAAGGCTTTACTGGAGAAGAAGTATGTGGATGCTGCCAACCGGCTGGAAAGAGTAAGAGCTGCTTCATTCATGTCCACACAGCCTTAGGTTACTTTAAACAATACTCAGCGCTAAACCAGCATTTATCTGCCTCAGAAATTTGTCTTTTTAAGGTGACTGCACACATGAGCCCCAGGTTAGGTGGTAAAGCAGGTTAGAGGTTCAGTCGCGGACTCCTCCAGTTCGCATGCCAAAGTGTCCTTGAGCAAGATCCCAAACCTTGAGTTGTGAATAGCATCCACTGGAGTTTGAATGTGCGTGTGAATGTTAGAAAGTGCTTAGGCATAGATAAATGTGAGCTTCTGAGACTTTTTGAGTGCTCAACTTACTAGAAAGGCAATCATTAACCATCAGTCCAGTACTATTTAATTTATTCTACTTACTGTTAAGGTAATAAGTCTGTGTTACCTTACTTTACAAGTTCTTTCATTTCCTTTCATTTTGATAAACAGAAATTTGTTTTGTTTCAAAAAATGTTTCAAAAACAAGTTAAAATATTTAGTGATACAAAATGTGGAGGTGAAAAAAGCAGAGGGTGACTGAAAACTGGTGTAATGACTTAATCATATTTACCTGCTTCCACAGAAAGTTCACTTACAATATATCTGAAATAAATGTGATTATAATAAAAGCTGTTCCAAAAAAGAACAAAGCACTGCCAGTCAGTGTTGTATGCTGTTTGTAGTTAATTAAAACAGAGGTAGCTATGTTTGGCCTTTTCACTCAATGGCATTTTTGTGACATAACTAATCCAATGTGCAATTCACCCCAGTGAGCCTATACAGTGGCTTTAAGCTAAGTGAAGTACAGCTGAAAAACAAAAGGCATGACTGTGTCAGTAAAGATGAGGCATTGTTAAAATATTTTTTTAGTTCCTTTGGGGTCTGTGTGTGTCAGTTACTGTGACCGGATACGCTGCACCAACAATGCTGTTCAGTTATACAAAAAGAGAACCCCAGACAACTGTGTTAAATAGACTGAAAAAGATGGCTGGAATGCCTCCTGCGTACATGTGACTCTTTTAAATGAAGAAGAGGGGAACTGTTGCCCTAAAGTGACCTGGTTACTGTTCCACAGTTGTTGTGCTGTTGCCTGTGTAAGATGCTTTCTCTCAGTAGCTGAGTGGACATAAACAGACTAATTCATGGGTCATATTTTTATTGAAGGCAAGGAAAAGTGTGGGGTCACTGAAGCGCTGGAAGACTTCTGAGCTGCCGCTCCTCAGTGCTCTCAGCTCTGAGTTGACAGTGCAGAGAGAGAACCTCATTTACCACCTGGGAGATGAATGGAAGCGCCTCGTCATCTGGAAGTTGCCATCCACAAAGGGTAAGACATCCTGAAAGAACAGGGTACCACTCTTTGTGTGAGCTCTTTTCCACATTTCATGTGCTAAATAAATAAGCCAAGCTCTATTGCTAACTAGCTCTCACCTTTTTCCAGGTGAGAAAGTTATCCACGATTGTGCCCAACAGGCTTGAACACATTAGTTAGATTTTATAAGATAATCTTAAAGTATACTTGAGCTGTAACTTTTGGGTGTGTGTTCCCAGAGCCTGCAGGGGAGATGTCTTTCTTGAAGGTGGAGCTGAAACTGAGCAGTGCTTGCAGTAAGGATGGCGAACTGAAACCACCTACACTACTGAGCTCTGTCCTGCAAGCTCTGGCCATCCAGGGAGACCTTCAGCACAAGATCAAACTCTTCAGTAAGAAGAAGCAGCACCGCCATAAAGCAGCAGTGCTTTTGTGTCCTTTTAAAATGTGTATAATACCTTGTATGTACTTTATTTCATTTAAAATATTTATGATAAATGTGTGACTGTTCTATACCATATTTGTGGTACAGCGCTGCAATTTTTATAACATAATTTTCCTTGTTAAAGATGTTTCTCAAGTGAGTCAGCCAGGTTAATCTATTTAGCTCTGAAGCACAATGTACCTGAGGTCAGAACCCCGCTCACTTATGCTTTCTGTTGATATTCAGGTCAGGTGCTTTTGAAGAACATGTTGAAGCCGTTGGTGATGTACGCGTCTCTGTCTGTGAGAGTGACTGAGCAGCAGGGTGAGGGAACCACGCTGGCCCTGCAGTGTTTGGAGGAGAGCGACGAGGAGCGATGCGCACCTTCAAAGGTCTACAACAAGCTGCTGCTGGTGCTCAAGACGCTTCATTCACACCTCCTAGGTACAGTATGTCTGCACGTACTGGTTGTAAAATACATACTGGGTTTTACATCTTTTGGGGTCGTTACATAGAAAGCAATGACAGACTGAATATGAGGAGAAATTATCCATGCTAAGCTGAAATATTGCATCTGAGTCTTGTTGAAGAGGCAAGTTACTTGTTTATTATTTTCCAGACGTGTCGATTGGTGATAAAAAGTTGTCTGCTATCTTGGGGGAGCTGATTTGGGAGGAAATGTCCCACACCATCATACATGAGTGTTTGGTGCACTCCATCCCCACCAACAGCAGCCAGCTGGAGAAATACAACACTGTATGGACCTAACAGCTCTTTGTCTAGTATAATAATATTATAATACACGCAACTACATTTTTACTATGTATTTGTTCTCTTTTTGTGTTGAAGGTGATAAAGGAAACAGAGGAGTTCGAGAAGTCTCTAAAGGAGATGGAGTATCTGCAGGGTGATTCCACAGACCTGCTCAAATATGCCAGAGATGTTAACTGTCATTTTGCCAGCAAGAAGTGCAAGGACGTCATTGTAGCAGCCCGTAAACTCATGACCTCAAAGATGCATAACACAGTCAAAGTATGTGAGGCTGAGTGTCTGAGTGTTCTCTTATCATAATGTGAAAAACATTTCACAGAATGTCAAAAAAGGAATTGTGTTGTATTTTTAGCTAATATTGTGAAGTTTTTCTTATCTTTTTAAGATCTTTGTGTAAAAATCATTAAATGGTTTTCATCAGGCCACCTCCTAAATATGCTACAAAAACTGTTGTGTGAAGATGTATTTAAATAACTATTCCACTGGAGTTGTACAAAATTACATGCATGTGTGATTACGCTTGTAATTACCCCTGCTGCAAATTATTTCCTTCTTGCAAACTTTATGTAATAGATCACACCAGACTCAAAACTTCGCCTCCCCAAGCTGCCAGCTCCAAGTTCAGAGGGCAAGGTCAAGCCAGAGAGCTTAAAGGAGGAGGTGACAATGGAGAACTCAAAGCAGCTGTCTGCGTGGAGTATGAGGCTGCCAGCCTGTCGCATCAGTGAGTCAGTGCAGCAGCTGATGGAGCTGGCACTCGACACTCTGTGTGAAGCTGTTGGGAGCTCAACACAAAGGTACAGTTCTGAGAGAGCTCACTGTGTTTTGTGTTGATGTATGCTTGAGTCCTGATAATAATCCTTCTGTGCTTTTCTACAATGAGAAATCTAAGACTGTCCCTTAGCTGTTGCAATTTCAAAGTGATCTCAATACCTCTGTCCAAAATAGGTCAAAATATCCTTTTATTTATATATAGACTTTACACTGCACGGGGAAGGTTGATTCTTTACGCACTCAATTTGAAAACTGTTCTGTTCTTCTTTGCAGTGCTTTGCAGCTCTTCTTCACTGTGAGAAACATTTTCCAGCTGTTCTACGATGTTGTGCCAACGTACCACAAGTAAGGCTGTTTCCATCACATAACATGTGACGGACAAAAGCAGTACATGTATTGCGAAAATGTAAATGAGTAACTGTTGTTTCTCTGTTACTCAGGGAAAACCTGCTCAAATTTCCTCACCTAGCTGCCATCCAGCACAACAACTGCATGTACCTGGCCCATCATCTACTCACCCTGGGTCACCATTTCAGAAACCACCTGCCGCAGCCTCTCAGCGAGGGCGTCGCAACTTTTGTTGACATGGTGCCAGGATTCAGGAAACTGGGTAAGCATTCTGTCATGAATTGTCGTACTATGAACTGCCCTCTGTTGTTGCCAGATGCAAATTATTAATGATTCAGATACTCAAGATTTGATTTCAAGTTTCTGTCACGCTGGACCAAAGAGAGAAAGGGGTTTTATGGCAAAATCGGGGCAAAAGTTTCCTACCAAGGACCAACATTCAATCTACAGTTTGCTTTGAAATATGAGCACACTTATCTCTCCAAAAACATTTATCCGTTTTTGTTCTTTTTCTTGCAGGTGCCCAATGCTTCTTAGCCCAGCTGAATGTTCAGAGAGCTGAACTGCTGGAGCGACTTTCCACTGCTCACAATTTCTGCAACCTGGATGATGAAGATAACTACACTGCAGCTAGCAAAGCAGTACGGCAGGTGAGTGGGGAGAAATGCTCATTATAGGAAAAAGAGTTTGGGCACCAAGCTGATGTGGTGGTTAGCACTGTTGTTAGAAGAAGGTTTGAATAGAAGTATATCATGATCAGGCCTCTTTTCCACTTGTTCTTACTCGACTAAACTCGGTTTTGTAGTTTAAGAACTATAATTGAGTATAACCTCAGTGTAGCTGGAGTCATTAGAGCAAGGAGGCCCGTGACATTATTTGTATGTGACACAAATGCAACGCAACAATGGAGGACACTGAGGAATGTCTGCTGCTGGGTCTTTGGCTTAAGGAAAAAGAGAGCCATTCGGCTCGACTCTTGGGTGCTTGGAACCCTGGCCGAGTGGTACTAAAAAGTACCCGGTGCCAGGTAGTACCAACTGATAGAAAACACTAAGAGTCGAGTTGAGCCAGATAGGTGCTAGTGGAAAAGAGGCGTATGAGGTTAAGTTACACCTTCCAATAAGGCTTTTCAAAGACTGTGGTAAATGGGGGTGTCTAAATGGGGGGATCAATTCCATCAGAGCCACACGAGGGGCAGCTGAAATGCTTTCTTAATTGATATCCTTATTAAATAGTTAATGAGTATAATGTAAATATCCATTCAAAGTCTTTTGAGTGGTCAGTAAGACTAGGAAAGCACTACATACATGTTAGTCCATTTTCACCCTTTAGGCTGTGCAGTGCTTTTTACTCATGCTCCACTCATCTGTTTGTTTGATTGCAGGTTATTCATCAGTTGAAGCAGTTGGGTACAGTCTGGCAGGATGTCCTTCCGGTCAGCATCTATTGTAAAGCCATGGGCAACCTCCTCAACACAGCCATCACAGAAGTTACTGCCAAAGTCATGATGCTAGAGGTTTGCGTTACTGAAATTAAAGTTAAAGCAAATAAACATTTGTCATAATAAAGCCCTAATAAGATGCTGTCTTTGGTTGATGAAATATGAAATTCAGGTTCTAATACTAGGATGCTGTGTTACATGCTCGGAGTTGACATATTTAATCTTTAATAAGGATTGTATTTGTCACTATAGGACATTTCCTCTGAGGATGGGAACCATCTCCAGACTTTGTGCCAAACTATAATTGATGAAGGCCCGCTGGTCTTTATCCCTCTGGCCGAGGAAAAGAAGAATAAGAAATATCAGGAGGAAGTGCCCCTCTATGTGAAGAAGTGGGGCACCTTCAAGGAGCTCGTCATCGTGCTGCAGGCCAATCTGCAGGAGATTGTTGACAGGTAAGAAAGAAACTTCACAACACAGAAAATAACATAAAGGTGTGGTGTAACAGTGGCTTGTCATTACTTTTAATCCATTCAGCCTTTAAATTAATGGCTTGTTTGTAAGTGTGACGGTGTCATATTTTTATAGCTATAAAAGAGAAGTTAGTATGTAGGAATTTACAGTGATATTTCTCCATTGATAAATTTTTATAAGTCTGCTTTTACATGCATGCATATTTATTTATTTATGTATTTATTTATCCAGTACCTGTCATGGGGGGAGGAAAATAATCCACAGAGTGCTTTACATTAAAAACTGGCATTAAAAAAAAAAAAGCACAGAAGATAAAAACATAGGCTACGTTCACACTGCAGGTTTTAATGCTCAATTCCGATTTTTTGATCAAATCCAATTTTTTTTGTCTGCTCGTTCACACTACAAATAAAATGCGACAGCAAACGCGCTCTAGTGTGAACGCTCAAAGTGGCCCGCATGCGCAAAAGAAGATGTCACACACAACGCGCTCTGTTTAGACCCAGAGCAAACAGTATTGTTTGACTGATGGCCCTTAATATAAAGACTTTACGTTTCCCAGTTTTTTGCTTTAAGCTATTTTGTTATTTACATAATAATGTAGATAACCTAATAATTATCGTTATTGCTGTTTTAGAGGAGCGGTGCTTCAAAGGATAGCTGCAGATTTTTGTCAGAATCTGCAGATTATGCAGTACAAATAAAATGGTCACGTTTCTCCAACGTTGTCTTCCCAGCAGTTTCACCGGATGGCCAGGAAGCGTTCGCGATGTCTTATCGGGCGCTTCTCCGGCGCTGATAATTGGCGTCTGTCTTGTGTCAGTGACGTAAAAGACGGATTTAATGCGACTTGATCATTCACACAGCAGTCGCTTTCTGAAACATCGGATATGTATCGGATTCAGTACCACATACGAAAGTGACCCAGATCAGATTTGAAAATATCGGATTTGTGCCGCTCACACTGTCATACCATGATCGGATATGGGTCACATAGGGTCAAAAAAATCGGATTTGATGCGCTTTCGCCTGCAGTGTGAACATAGCCATAATATGTATAACAGCACACATGAAACATCATACTGCCTAAAACTAGTTAAACCAGTCTGAATAAATGAGTCTTCAGCTGCTTCTTAAAGCTGGAGGGGGCCACAGTTCTAAAGGTTTTATCCCCCCTGGTCTTAAAATGACTTTGTGGGACCATTAATAGTCTTTGACTGGAAGATCTAAGTATCTTACTATATCTCTTTTCTTTTGTGTGGCTGTCTGACTTGTCTCTGATTTGTCTCCATAGGTGGGCTGACAGTAAAGGTCCACTGGCTTTGGAGTTCTCGAGTTCGGAGGTGAAGAATCTGGTCCGAGCTTTGTTTCAGAATACGGAGAGGAGAGCTGCAGCTTTGGCCAAAATCAAATAGATTCTTGGAAAGAAAAAAAATCCCAACAAGATACTACAGCACTTTTCCACTGTGGAAAATAAGGACTCTTTGCCTTTATTCATTTCTATTTTCTGTTATTTGCATAAAATATAAACATTTACATGTATACAGGCTGAACAGCTCATCACAGAAATGGTTGAGGTGTTGTCACTGGGGATTTATTACTCCCCAGCCCCCTGAGGTGTAACCAGAACCTTGCCCTCCATTGACACATGATGCCGTATTCAGGGTAACTTTGCTGCACTTCATTAATCAAACTTACTGATGTGATTTCAGGAGTTTATTTGTTTGAACCTAAGCGCCTCTAAAAGACCATTATTTTGTGAAAGACCTGCTCTGGACCTTGGACTTAGTATGACAAATTATCTTGTTCGAGCAGTGAAACTGAATTTTTCCATGTGTGTCTGTGTGTTCTGATATAACTTATCCAAATAAACCAAAACACTCAATTTTTTTCGAGACCTTGTCCAGGCTGTTCTTGATGAATAGAAATGATGAGTGTTCTTGGTGATGGGTCTTGCCATCATACAACTTCACAATGCTCAGTATGCAGAGAATATAGTAGCAGCTTATTTTTTGTAAGTTCCATTCGTTAATTTGATCCCTGTATTGTATTCGGTCGGGTCTGTGTTTCATTTACAGCTGCCACCACTGATAGATGACCTATAAAACAGCCTTAAGTGTCCATGCTTTTGTGGAACTTTTTCCAGCATCATTTCAACAAATCGCTTTACAAAAGTTAAAGAAAACTGTATACACCCAGGTTTTATTATATTCAAGGCTGATTAAATTATCTGACTAGGGTGAGAGTATCTGGGCTGAAATGTTCCAAAAACTGTTGCAGGCTTTTGAATGCACCGTGAATCATATTAGGTTTGTGAAAGCAGACTGTAAGAATGAAAAAACATTGTCAGTGTTTGTGCTCTGAACGATTGAGGGGGAGGAGACAAACAGCTGCATAGCTCCACAGCAGCAGCTCTTCACTCTAAACTCTCTCCTCCTCCATTTGATTACCCCGATGAGCTGAAGGAAGTTACATTATACCAGCAGCAGCGTTCATCTTAAGACATGCTTTGCAGAGGTATGTGGGGTTTTCACGTTTTCAGTAAATAAATCTGAATATGTGAACTCAGTCTATAAGACATTAATACTGTCTTTGCTTTCTTTATCTAAACTTACTCAGTTACTTGTCCTGTATTTTAAGCAATAGAAAACACAGATACACTGTTGTGTGGTATTTATGTAATGCTTGTTTTCACAGAAATCTAAATTAAATTAATTTTTATTCATAATGATACATTTGGATTAATTTGGTTAACTGATTGATTGGATATGGAAAATGTAAAAAAAAAAAAAAGTGAAAATTGAGGGAAACATCAAAGATTACCTGTCAAAACCAACAACAAAAAAACAGTCTAATGTGGGTGAATTATTTTCTGCCAGTACCCTTATTGATTAAACTGCGCTACATATTCTACTTTCCAATGAATATCCTGGAAATAACTCATTAAAAATTAAAAAATACATGCATACTGTACTTGTCGACTTACTTCAGGTTTTCGTTGCCTGGAGTAGCAGTCAGTCTGAGTGCCCCAATCAGGTCAGCTTAGCATAACATGGAATATTTGGCAATGTAATTTTTTTTACTCAAAATATTTTTTGACCGAGTATTAACTTATTGTAAATATAGTTACAAAAAACATCACAAGGACTGGTTACATTGAAAATGAAACAAAAAAGGAAGAAAAAAAAAGACTAAAACCCATCCACAGCAGTTCAACATGTATGGAAATGACTATTGTTTATATAAAACCTCTAAAGTTACAAAGTTGTAGAAGATAATACTAGTTGAATATCAATCTGTATTACCACCATATTTGTTTATACTCTTGCACCTTACAAAATGTCTGGACTGAGTTCATAATTAAGCTTCATATTAAATTATATTGATTGTAACTGGCTATTGTAACACAGTATTTTTTTTTATCATTGTTAAACTATATAAACTACTATATTTTATAATAGTTTACTTTTTATTTATAGACTACATCTTATTTGACAATTATCACATATGGCTGATGCTTATTTTAAAAACAAAAATCTTGCTAAGTGTGTTTATATTATCAATACAACATATGCGACACCCTCATCTACAAACAGCTACTAGTTGCTCAAAATCCTTAAGCAACTCTAAAGCATAAATGGGCTAAAAAGATTTAAGATTGTAAGTTGTCATTTGTTTTGGAATGTTTCCTTGTAGTAAAATCCTGTCTCCCTGACTCATGTTGCTTGATAGCTGTAAATGTATTACACAGATGGGCACACATGTAGTCAAGATGAATTTTGGCCACATCTGGACACTACTTTCTAGATTTAAGCCTTCAGGCAAATACAGTTGGTAATCTTTTCAAATCCTTTGTATTCTTTGGTGTAGTTCAGATTAATTTTAAGGATTAGGACAATCCCTGCATGTGCAACAAGTTGCAGCGATGACTGATCAGCCCACTTCAGACAGATGAAACCTGCTGTTATGCTGATCTGAATCTGAGGTCACCTCGTGAATCACCTGAATATAAATAGAGGATGACCTGGCAGCATGAATAAGTAAATACATAGTTAAAGAATAAATATATGTTCTTAGTCCTTTTTTTTTTAGATTATATTGTTTTATGTATTTTAATAATAAAGGCCTGTAAAGCAAGGCCAGCTTTGACTCATAAACCAAGTGCTCAGCCAGACTGAAAAACAGGAAGTTTAGTGCAGAGCTGCAGAGGCATATACAGGAAACCAGACAGAACTAAGTAGGAACTAAGTAACACAGAAGGAGTTGTTTTTATCGAAACTATGTGTGACGTGTAAAGGACCAAAATAACACAAACCATTTTTGGTTTCTAACGCTAGAGATCTGCAAAATGGCTTTGGGCTGTGCATGTCTCTCTCTTCCGGAAGATGATTAAATAAAATAATTATAAATAGTTTGACTAAGAGTCGTGTTCTCTCTATTCAGTAAAAGATGACAAGAACAGATTTATTATTTTGATTGTTGTTTTAAATTAATTTAAATTACTTTAGAATGGAAGTTTGGTTTCAGCCAACAACCATGTCATGTCTGAAGTCACACATATTACCTTTCTTTTTCACTATGATGCTTGGTTTGGTTTCTGAACGTCTACACGACTAGAGCCATTGGTTTACTCAACCACTCTGTTCTGTGTACACTAACTCTCCCCGACAATAAAGCATGAACTGTGTGCAATGTTGAATCATTGTTGGCCACATCACATCATCCATATCCACATTTTTCTGCAATATTTTTGGAATATTGTGAATATTATGTAATATTTTCTGCAATTTCAGGTTGCAGATAAATTCACTTTGATCCATGATGATCACTAACTGCTCGTCACCCCCACCATCCCAAGAGGGGCCTCAGTGTCCACCTGAGAGTTCCTCTCAGGTGTTCGCTCCAGCTGAGCATGAGGTTCATCAACAGGACGTCATCCAAGAAACTCCTCTAGAATCAGTAGAAGACACCTTGAAATCTCTGCACATGCATCGTAACAAACACTTTAAACGTTTGAGCTCTCAATGGCAATCAACCTTCAGGGGCAACATTGCTCTCTCTCCAACAGAGAAGCGGCACAGTGCAAAGAGCTTCAGGAGGCGCTGCAAGCTGCTGGGAGACGAGCAGCCTCTATGTGTCACTACCAACAATCAGCGCCAGCGTTACGTCACCAAGGACGGCAAGTGCAGGGTTAATCTGGGACACATTAAAGACAAGAGTCGCTTCATTTCAGATATTTTCACCACATTAGTAGATCTTAAATATCTCTGGTTCCTTCTCGTCTTCACTGCCTGTTACATCCTCACATGGATGTCCTTTGGTGCAATCTACTTCTTAGATGCTTGGCTACGTGACGACATTGCACACGCCCACGACTCCCAGTGGCAGGCATGCTTTGAAAATGTGGACAGCTACCTCGCAGCCCTGCTGCTATCTCTGGAGACCCAGAGGACTATTGGGTACGGCACCAGGAGGGTAACAGCTAATTGTCCTGAGGGTGTGGTGCTCCTGATGGTCCAGTCCATCACCGGCTCCATTATCGATGCCGTGATGGTGGGCTGTATGTTCGTTAAAATCTCCCGACCACAGCAGAGGGCCCAGACACTGATCTTCAGCAAACACTGCGTCATCTGCGAGCGTGACGAGAAGCTTTGCTTGCTCTTCCGCATAGGTGACCTTCGAGAGAGCCACATGGTGGACGCCAAGATCCGAGCCAAGCTGATCAAATCCAGGCAGACCAAGGAGGGAGAGTTCATCCCACTGGAGCAGACAGAGATCAATCTGGGCTATGACACTGGAGGAGACAGGCTTCTCCTGGTAGAGCCCCAAACCATTGCCCATATCATCAATGATAGTAGTCCCTTCTGGGAGGTGGGGGCCAAGCGCTTGAAGAGGGAGACACTGGAGATTATCGTTATCCTGGAAGGCATTGTGGAGGCATCAGGTTTGTAGAAATGTGGTGCTTGTGCTGTTTAATCTGGATACAGCTACGTTTACAACTTTGCTTGTTTGTCATTTTTGAAAAGAGCTAAGTATGTGTGTTATTATTAAACTGGGATTTTATTGCTTGTTGTGATGTTTACTGGTTGTTTTGTGATGTTACAGTAACACGTACAGTAGCATAGATCTTCATAAAGCTGCTTTGTGGTAGTTTTTTTGCCATTGTTTGAGTGGTTGGCGAACTGAAACCAATTAAGAAAAAGGTTACTGTTACTGTTCACCATCTAAAATATTAATAAATTTGTGTTTATAAAAAAAACTTTATTCTTATGGCTCAGTGCTGGCTAAAGTGCATAAATGCAGAGAAAAAGATGTGCTTTCATGTAAACTTGCACACAATAAAGTTATGTCCTGATAAAATCTGTTGGATCTTTTTCCAATAAAGTGACCGGTTCCTAACCCGCTGATGCTTTTCTGCAGGTATGACATGCCAGGCAAGGACATCCTACACACAGGATGAGATTCTGTGGGGTCACCGATTTGCTTCGTGCATTTCCCTGGAAAAAGGAGCATTCCTCGTGGACTGCAGTGCGTTTGACAAAACCTTTGAAGTCGAAATGTCTCCACTCAGTGCAAGAAACAGAAGCCATGCAAAGGATGAGGAATCTATATTTTAGAAACTGAAAACAGGTCTTATTTGTGGAAACTAAGAATCTGCAGTTGTAGTAATTTTATCTACTTTCTTGATGTGGAAAGTTAATTATTTTGCTATGTAAGTAGGTGAACCGAGTAATTTTCAATGATCTATTAAATTTTAAAGACAAACATGGCTTTCATACCTCTTTTTGTACACCAGCTGTGACATTCTCTGAAGTAATGACAATCATATTGATGAATATAAATCTCAGGGAGGCCATAATTTCTGTTGTTTTCCTTGTGGTATGTTTTGACATAACATGGTGTCTGATTTATTTCAAATCAAGTAAAATAAAATTTATCCTCTTTTTTGTTCTTCATCTTTTAGTTGTTCCTTTTAGGGGGTACCATAGTGGATCCTCCATCTCACCCTATCCATAGCATCCTTTTCTGTCACACCAATCCCTATGCATGCATTTTTTCTGTGCGCTTCCTCATTTTCAGCATCCTTTGTCCAATATATCCACTGTCCCTTCTTCTGCATTTGTCCAAACCATCTCAGACTTGCCTCTAACTTTGTCTCCAAACTGCTCAGCCCCCCTGATATTCTCATTTCTAATCCTGTCATTCTGCTCACTCCCAATGAAAATGTTTAACATCTTCAGCTGTCTCACTTCCAGTTCAGCCTCCTATCTTTTTCTCAGTGACACCAGCTCCAAGCCATATATCATAGCAGGTCTCACTACCATCTTGTAAATCTTACCCTTTACTCCTGCTGCTATCCTTCTGTCACAAATCACCCCTAACACCGGCCTCCACCTATTCTATCTTGCATGCACTCTTTTTTTCACCTTTCTTGTCCCCTCTCCATTGGTTTGGATGGCTGACCCCGGGTACCTGACCTCATCCAGGCATTCTCTGTTAAACAGTCTGGTCAAAAAGTCCATTGCTCGCTCTACTAGACATCTCCATACCTCTACAGGTTGTCATCTGGACCATCCGGCTTTCCACTTTCATCCTATTCATAGCTGCCCTCAGTTCCTCATAACTAATGATTCACCAACATTGCTTCATATGTCCTGCTCTCACTGTCACTTGTCTGTGGTCTTGTCTAGGTGAATAGAAGAGTAGCATGGCAAATCTAAATTTAAAGGTCCACCGTTGTTTGGTGATTTTTGAACTGTGCGCTGTTGGACTCAGGCCGGATTATTTGCCCAGGGATTTTACCCATGTAATCTTGGTGGCTGTTTATGTTCCTCCCTCTGCTAACCCCACTGCTGCATTTGACATTAGCACTCTGTCATAGCCCAGTTACAGACTCAGCACCTGAGTGAGGGCAGATCCCATGAGTTGGATTTGTTTTCAACCGATCTGACACTGTAGTAATTGCCCCCCCCACTGACCTACCTGTAGTTAGCCTGCAATCCACTGCCAAGCCACTCACTCTCTTTCTCTCTACACATTGCACCATAAAATCTTGAGAAAATCCTGACACCCCTCCCACACCTATCGTTTTCAATCGTGACCAGGTTCAAAGAGAACAGAGAAGACTCCACTCAGGCAAGTCTGCTCGACCAGACAGGGTGAGTCCCCTTGTCCTCAAGGCCTGTGCCCCCAGCTTTGAGGAGTCTTTCATTAACTGTTCATGGTGAATCTGAGCCCGCAGAGTGGAAGACGTCACAGTGGCCCCCGGGATTACAGACCTGTGGCACTGACATTCCACGTCAGACCCTGGAAAGACTCCTCTCTGACCATTCCCAAACTATTATCAGGATCCCTTCACAAACTGCATGCTATGTTTACTCCAGTTAACTTTGTCTTTATGTTTTATGGACAACAGATGGAAATTAGCCCTTGGCTATAATCTGGTATGTTTACATTCATGTAATTTTTTTACATTTATGTTCATTAACATGCACTGTCCTAAATAAATTAAATTAATATTAAAATTGAATTGATGATCTGAAACATTTAAGTGTGACCAATATGCAAAAAATAAAAATAATAATCATACATATATTTTACACAAGAGTTTACATTACATTTGTCCAAGGTTCAGCAAAAGGAAGATTAATTTAATGAGCAGTAACACTGGCGGCGTTTTACAGCCCCACCTCGGTAGATGGCGCTAATGCGCGTGAATACAAATATAAATCCAAGAAGTAATGTCGGAAGAACAGCATGATGGGATATGAGAGTCCTCCGGCGGCGCGTTGCCGCCATGTCTCCTAGAGAAAAACATTTATTGCTTCTCTCTGCTCTAGGCCTAGTTATTCTCGCTTTTTATTATATTCCCACTTTTCTTTTTGTGACCTTAATTCTTGCAGTTTGTTGTATTGTCTGTTATTATCATAGCGGAGAACCGCTTCCCGCCAGGTTAGGCCCGAATCCTCGGGGTGGGCTAAACGTTCCGGCCGTACTGCGGCGCTGGCTGTGGGGCTGGGAGGCGACCGGCGTCTCGGTACCCGCACGGGGGAGAGCGAAGAGCAGCGGCAACAACAGAGCCGAGCTCCGGGAATCAGAGGGACACTTAAGTCAAAGACTCGCTGAAAGCGGAGTTTATCGAAAGGAATCCTTATCAAGCGAGTCTTTTCTTTTTAGCCCCCGGGATTTTCTCATGGGGAGTTACATCGGGAAACCGGAGAGCCCAACCGCCGACTCGGGGAGGCGGAGAGCCGTGAGAAATCCCCGAGAGCAGCTCCGGGAAAAGCTGGCCAGACCCAACCACGCCGTCTATACTCCAAACAGAAGGCTTTCATTTGCTGGGTATGTTCAGGCTAAAATCAAATCAATCACATCTCGGTTTTACCGGCGTAATACAGCCCGGTCTTTTTGAATGGAGGCGGTTAAGTTGTTGGAATTCAAAAGGTTAAAGGTGCAGCTTGGCGGTGTTTAATGACTAACCTTCGAGTCGTCAAAGCGATCTCTGTAGCTCCACACAGCTATCCAAATGTGCTACACGTTACTGCAACCCTATGCGTATATATCTGTACAGGTTATGTCATGTGCAAGAGTTTCTCATTACAGTAATTTACTACTAATATAGTACCGGCATTTCCAATCTGTGAACAGTTATGACAGAAAACTTGAATTGTTGGCCATATAAATTACTTTAGTACTGAAAAGCATATTTAGCAGGTTTGCTGTATTGGCAATGTAATGTATTTAGAAAGTATTAGACTTTTACCTGACAATCGGATTTATTTCCGCTATCGCCCCAACCATTATAGAGACTGACGAATGGTATTTGACATGAAATATCAGAGACAGGAACAAAAGTTCACGTTTTCTGTAATATTAGTGAGTATTATATGTTTGGGTTTTCCCAGAAAAATCTATTATGGCCATTTGTGGGATTACGAAAAGCAGACTTTCAGACCCTTCATTTTGCCTTGGCCTCTAATTGTTCTGTCCTGCAGGGAGACACCGGGAGCAGCGAGCAGGTTCACCATCACACCCCAGCGCCACTACCCCCTGCAGCAGCCGGGTGTCTCGTCAGTGGGAATCCTTCCTCCCGTCAAATGGGACGGTTTCAGAAAGAAAAACATCCTCAGCCCTCGCAATTCCCCGGCTGCCCTCAGCCCTGTCACAGTGAAGATCGCCAGGCCTGACCACAGCTCCCCCAGGTCTCTGTGCGATCTATGCATTACAGTGTTTCAGTCTAGATCATCAGCTTGAGTCAGATCTCTTTAAACTCTAACATAACCTGTTTTAAGAGATTAATGTCAAAACCCTTTTGATAAAACTTTTGTAATGGCTGTTTACCTTTCTTTTGTTTCAGCATGGACCATTTGAGTTATGCCGTTCTCCCCAGAGCGCCTGCCGATCCGTGCTCCAGAGAGAGTGTCCTCAAGGTGCTGAAGGAAAGCCGCAAGAGAGAAGTGGACGACGAGGACAGGAGCTTTACAACTGAGCAGAAAAGCAAAAGAAGGTACGAGGCAGCACATGAATGCTGACAAGCTTTATATTTTTGCCTTTTTATGTAGCTTGGTGACACTTTTTATTTTATTTTTTTGTCTGATAGCTGTAAGGTTATTATAGTAAACTAAAAGGTATAAAAAAATTTCAACTGAAATAAATTTAAAAAATAGACTGGGAAAAAAAGGACTTCCTGTACTCGCACAGCAAACCTAAGACATAAAAAGTATCATGTGTTTTGTTTAAACCTTCTTGGTCTGTAGGTAATGCATAGTGTGGTTATTAGCAAGGCTACAGAAAAACAGCCTGTTGATGCTTTTAGTTGTCTCGGTCTCTTAGCTTTACGGACAGCTGCAAACAGAATGGATGAATAGCTTTTTCCTATTAACACCATTTCCCAGTCCATTTGTGGTGCACTTGGAAAGCTCACTCTTCTAATGTAATGTTCCAACAAAATATACACTCCCACATGGGGCCTTGCATTCTTATGAATGCATATAACATCTGCATTATAATGCTGTATTCATTTTTCCCCTTTTTCCCCCAATAATTTGAATAGATACAGATCACACGTACAAATGTGGCCTTAAAGTCTTCTATAAATACATTACCGAAGCTCAAATGCAGTTTTGAGTTACTGGATGCCAAGAAAATTGGAAATATCACTAACACTTAACACAGCACATTTTACATAGGTTTTCTCTAGGGCTGGGCTATATCATACCGTTCACGGTAATACCGGTGTAATTTTGGGCAACGATAGGAAAATGAAATATCACGATAGAATATGGGTAAAACACGCGTGCGTAGTGCCTTTGTTTACATACGCACATGGCGACGAGGCAGAATGAGAAGAGCGAAAGTGGATCGTTGAATGAAACGGATGAACCAGAATTGGTTTGTAAAAATGCTGCAACTTTAGTGGTGTGGAACTGGTTTAGCTTTCGTCCGTCAGATACACAACAAAGCACTATTTTTGGTAGAGCATGTTAGCGGGCCGTCGTTATTACCGTGTTGTTTGGAAAATACGGCACACTTAAAATCAATCCTTTGATTTTTCTGAAAATCGACAGTGCCTCTTATAATCCCGTGTGCCTTGTGTATGAATTCTGGTTGTGTTTACTGACCTCGAAACGATTTTATGTACACAGCGCTCGAAAATCTGTCAAATGTTTTAGTACGACTAAGCTACGAACCCGCACCGCTTGATTGATTGTCGGAGCATTACGGCTATGTTAGGCAGGCGCCTCGCGGAGTGATACGTACTGTGCTTCAACATAATATTACCGTATTGTGTGTGTATAACCTCTTTTTAAGTTTTGTGGATATTAAACATGGTTATGCTGATGATATGTCGGCCAGTTTCCACTGGAAATGCCTTTTGATTAAACTGTCAGCGAGGAATTTGCACTGTTACATTTTTATATAACTTTAATGCACATAAAAAACAGCTGCTTGTTTAAGTGAAAATACATTGATGGGTTTTTTGCACTAATAAAGTTGAGGAGTTGTAAAGTATTTTGTCTAGTGTCAATTATATCATCAGTTATATCGTTATCGCAAATTTTCAAATGTATATCGTGATAAATATTTTTGGTCATATCGCCCTGCTCTAGTTTTCTCTATTGTTATATTTCAAAATAATAAATGGTTGTTGGTTTTTTCCATTTTATTTTTTAATTAATTTTTTACTTCCTAAGACGTAATGACAGCGGTGGAAGTGCACACTCTGCTTTTGAACCCCTTTTGCCCAATGGCACGCCGTCACAGCTGGTTCCTAAGTAAGTTAAACTTTTCATACAGTTAGATCATGTCTTATGAAAGCCTGTGGTGCAGGGTGAAGTATAGTGTGGTGCTACCTGTGCATTAAGAGAAATACTTTCCTTTTCCCAGGCCAGGAAGTCTGAAAAGAGGGATGACCTCACTGACTGAGGAGTCCATTATGAAGAGGTCTCGGACATCCTCAATCAGCTCTGGCAGTGGAGCTCATGCTCCAAGAGGAACCCCGGGCACCAGGAGAAATGCCATCCAGAGTTCCTACAGCTCTTCATTGGGTCTCAACCAGGTAACTCTTCTCTGCTGCATTAAAGGACGCACAGGATTCTAGAGGAAACAGTGGAGCTATGACACTCTAAATCTTGTTTTCCCTTCACAGTGGAAGAAGCCGTCAGCACCCAGCTCCCCTCTGTCCAGCCCTGGATCATCTCGCTGTCAGACTCCAGAGGGCATCTCAAAAAGACCCAGGTGTGTCTCTGCTAGGTTTCTGATCAGTTGTTGACATTTAATCCAGTATTGCGGATTGTAACCTTAAGTTTCATTTCCAGAGAGGACGACACGCAGTCTCCCAGCTCAGCATCCTCTGCAAAGTCAGATCACACGTCTATGGACAACACACTCGTCTCTTGTGAGTGTCATACCTTGAGTAGCTGTGTTGTGTAGGGATTCATCTGTCCTAGAAATGCAGCTCTGTGCAGCAGATTATTTAGATTTATGCAACACTGACTGAAAAGTTCTACTACTAATTAAAAATCCATAGAGCTAATTTGCTGGGAAGTGATCATAGGTAATGCTAGTTAGACTTTATTTACACAAAGTCATTCCTTATCCCAGAAATTCATTCACTTGTACCCTAAAGACCCATTTTCCAGCATGGGGTTTATCTTAGTGGCCCTCTACTGTTAAATTAACTCTTAAGACTGTTGAAGAATATTATCAGAGTTTTCAAATGGGTCTCAAACTCATGCGTTTGAACATTATCATTTCAATTGTGCTTAATTCAGATTGCTTCTTTACTTTTAGAGAAATTGATTAGCCAGTTTGACCCCTCATTACTCGGTTTAAGAAAATGGTTTCCAGAAACATCCCAAGAAAGGTTGTTGGGTTTTTGTTTTGTTTTTTTTGTTTT